GTGGAAAAGGCTTTGTGTGGAAGTCAACTTTAAATAAACACATGAGAATTCACACAGGAGACTAACCTTTGCTTGTGATCCATGTGGAAGAGGTTTTGCTTCAAAATCATATTCATACAAACACATGACACATCCACACAGGAGAGAAAAAAACATTTGGTTCAGATGCTTGTGGCAACTTTTTTGCCTTCAAGTCATCTTTAAACATACAAGAATCCAAACTGGAGAGACACTTTTTTGATGAAATAAAAGATAAACCCATTGCTGGTTATGATTGTGGAAAAGATTTAAGCATAATTTAAGACCCTCTTTACACCATATTGTGTAGGTCCCAGGAAACAATGATTTTCCACGTCTGTTATCAGTTTAGCTAGCCAATAGTGGCAGATTCGTAGAAGTCCCAGTTGCTTGTGCTGAAAAGCAGCAGCAGCTCGCTTATTTAGTTTTCCCGGGAGTGGATATTCGCCAGGTAGATAGTGGTGAAAAAGTGTTTGCCACCCAAACCTAATAACTGGTTGGGCTAACCCTCAACAGCAACAACTGCAATAAAGCGTTTGCTATAACATGCAATGAGTCTTTTACAGCCCTATGGAGGAATTTTGGTCCACTAATCTTGGCAGAATTGTTGTAATTCTGCCACGTTGGAGGGTTTTCGAGCATGAACAAGCTTTTTCTCAGTTAAGATTTTCTCAGTTAAGATTCTCAGTTTTAAAGTCACACATTAACTGTGACTGTCTTACCTTTTTCAGAAATAGAAAACTACAAGTATAATCACAGCAACATGTATGATGATTTTCTATTTTTCTACAATTATTAAATGTAATGAAGAGTGGTAATGTTAATCAATTGTGATGTATTCATAAAAATGAAGTGATGTTTTTTTTTTTTTTGCTGTAACTGGTATGAGAGCAAGAAGCAGAAAAATACTGTGTTAGAAAGCTTGAGGCTGAGCAGATAAGGAGGGCACCATGGCTTGGGAGTCAGAGACATAACATTAGGACGGGAGGGGCAGAGGAGAGCCAGCTCACGGGAACTGGGCATGGATGGAAGGTCAACGAGCAAGCTCAAGTCATAACAAGTATGAGAAACGAGAAGTCAGGTTCATGCTGTTTTTCATCAGTCTGAAGTTCGAAAAACAGGCAAAATTTATCGGACCAGGATGGGAGCGGGAGTCATAAAGGTTGAAAAACAGGCAAAAGTCATAACACAGGGAGCCAGCTGCAGGCTGTTTACAACTCTGTCTACGGAGGCCAGGAGACAGCACTGAAAAGTCACGGCGACCGTGTAACTCAATGATGGGATAGCTTGCCCGGCAACGGGACGAGCAGTGAGGCTATCTGCGCTATAAAAATTCTGACATATATATATATATATAATATATCCTATATTATATATCCTAATCAGAAGAATCTGTCATCACCCTTTGAAAAATAATTAATTTAACTTAATAATTATTCTCTACTAACACCAATCTGTTGAAGATCCTCAGGGAAACTTTCTCTTTTCTTGTTTAGCTTTTTGTTCTATAACTAAATTAGTTTATATTTTTAAAATCCATGTTTTAAAATGTAACATTCCAGTATGTCCAGACATAAACATTGATTTTATTGGTCTGATGTATTATTTTAATTTTCTGAGAAACTGAATGTTGGGTTTTCAAAGATTATGGATCAACTATAAAAAATAATCATGAAAGTGAACAGAAACAAATGCTTGAAATATATGAGTATACTATATTACTATGTGTAATAAATCTATGTAATATATCAGGTTCACTTTTTAACTGAATAACTGCAATGAATAAAGTTTTAGATTGAACACTAATTTATTGTATTTTGAAGGGTTTTGTTACTTCATACTTAAAACTAAACATAACTGTTACCAGCAGGTGGCGCTCTTTAATCAGTAAAACCACTTTCCTCAACAACCAATTCATTCAACTAAAGTAAAAACCTTTGAGGTTTTTTACTGAAGCTGAAAATAATTATGTCAAAGAATGTGAAAAAATAAATGTTTACTTTAGTTTTGCACATAAAGACAAAAACTGCATCAATATTTTGCATAATAACAAGACTGATAAAAGGCCACTAACAACACAGTTTATTGAGACAATCTTGGTCTTATTATTTGTCATTTATTTTTCCAGGAAGCCGCTCTTCATCGTCTTCCAGCTTATCACTGTAAAAAGTAAGTACAGCCCAAATTTCCATTAAGGGCTGTACTTACTTTTGTTGCCAGTAGTTTAGACATTACTGGCTGTGTGTTTAGTTATTTTGAGGAGTCAGCAAACTTACTCTTTTATACAAGCTGCACACTGACTACTTTACTTTGTATCAAAGGGTCATATCTTCCTTTGAGGGGTGTACTAACTTATGGAAGCTCCTGTAAATATTGGCAATATCATGTAGTGCTAACAGTGATTAACCAGGTCATTAAGCTCAACTTGCAGGTCTGTTGATTTTCTGCCTAGCAACTAGAACCCGTTAGGCTGGATTTGAGGTTTTTCTAGATCCAGCTTCCAACGTCTGAGGTAAATTAAAACCAGGACAAGTAGCAACCGGCTCTTCTCCTCGGTTCTCTGTTTTTGTGAAGCAAAGATTAGTCTGCTTGAACTCCTCATCTTTTAGCCTGTTTTGGCTGATCAGCTCTTCATTGCAGCTCATTTGCTTCTTGTTTATCTTGTAAATAGTTGATTCTAAGTTTTTCCATCAAAGGAGCCCAAGCACCACCCGTGGTTTTTACACCACAGTTGGAGGTTTATGGTATTTGTTCATTTTGACTATTTTTGACCTACTGACTCCAAGCTCATTAACCTTTGCTGGTCCTGATTTATTCTTCAAGAACTATAATTAAATAGAAGTTTTCTCCAGCCTTCTGGTTAATGATTTAAATTAATGATCAGGGGCAACATTACGATGTGTGTCAGAGAGTAGCGGCTTATTGCTAAGATGTAGCTGTTTTTAAAATCTAGTTCAGTTTGTTCACAGAGTTCTGCTTCACAATAAATGTCACAATATTAGGAACGCTTCAGTAAAGTATTTGAGTCAGTTTTTGGTAATATTGTCCTTTTTGTACAGTCTGTAATTCAGGAGGGCAGAAGATCTGCTAAAGCTGAGAGATCATGATATCATCTATATCATCAGCCTCATTAATAATATTTCTCTGTTCAGTTGGTTGCAAATATAAAAACTGGAACCCACCAATCACATGGCAGCACCTCATTTAGACTTCTAGACGTACTGAAGTTCAAATTGTGCATCAGAACAGGGAAGAAAGGAGATTTCAGTGACTCTGAATGTAACATATTTGTCGTTGCCAGCCGTGCTGGTCTGAGTGCTTTAGAAGCTGCTGATCTACTGGGATTTTCACATGGTCTGTTAGAGATGTAACACACACACATAGAGATGTAGAGTTTTCAGAGGAGAATGGGAAGATTAGTTTGAGCTGACAGTAGACCAGTGGCACCAGTAGCTTAAATACCCATGTTGCCATCTCTGGACACACAGCAGGTCATTCCTTGAAGCAGAATGGCTACAGCAGCAGCAGAAAATGATGGACTGGAAAGAGTTTCCTGTTCTAAAGACGATCCATTTCAGCTGAGAATTTGGTGTCAACGTGAACCATAGATCCATCCTGCCTTAAATTAAGTTCAGGCTGCTGCTGGTGGTGTTCTGGTGTGGGGGGATGTTTTCTTGGCCCACTTTGGGCCCCTCAGTACTAACTGAGCAACATTTAAACACCACAGCCTACCTGAGTATTGTTGCTGACCATCTCCATCCCTTTATGACCACAGTGGACCATCTTCTGATGGTTCCTTCCAGCAGGATAACAGCTCCCATCATTTCAAACTGGTTTCAGATGCTCCTTTAGAAAGAAATGAAGACTGGCATATTTTAGATGATGTGTTGCTGGAACATTATTAAATTCATATGTGAAGAGTTTTTATTTTACTAACAAATGAAACTAATGCTATTTTTCTCAAATGAATCTAATGCTGCCGTTTTTATCTAAATTTATTTTCGTTTTTGTTGCTGAATTGACCCACATGCTGAACACACTCAGGAGAAAGTTTTTAAATGTTGAATGTAACAGGTCTGATAAGGGAATCAGGAATCCAGGACCAGGAACAGAGAATGGGTCTTTAACGGCACATGGAAGAAGAAGTAATGATGCTGGAGGATACTGGAAGTTTGAGAAGGGAGACTGTGCTTACAGGGATGAGATGATGAACCGCCAGGGAGGAAGGAGTGCAGTCTGGGAGCTGATGATCAGCCAGAGGTGGGTGAAGTTGATCCAGGAGGAAGAAGAGCTTGGCACAGTGTGAACATGGTGGAGGGTGAGCAAGGTTCGATCACAGGTGCGTCTAAGGAAGGAGGAGTCAGTTCGCTGCCAGCTGGAAGCTTCAGTCCAAAGGCGACAACTTGAATTCATGCAGGTAAGTTCAGGAACCAGGAAATGAACTGGAACAGAACCAGAACACAGGGGCAACCTGAGGGAGAACACACACAAGGTGAGATAATCCTTCTGACAAGGACTCAGGAGCAACAGAGGACTAGAGCTTTAGCACAGTTGGTTAACACTCAGGCATCAAAGTGCTGGCAGCAGACTCCTCTTAACGCTCTCCTGATGAGGCTTGATGAGCAACACCTATTATATACTCTGGTGCAGACACATTGGTTTTATTATCCTCCTTTATCATTAGTTTTATACATGAACAGTTTTGTAGGAAGAGTTCACTTTACTTGAGTTTTGTTGTTCTAATCTAAACTGTACTTCAAGTATTACATTTCAATTATATTTGACACAAGTTAGAAAAATTTGGTCAAACTGATAAAGAAAGTTTCTAAAATGTTCTACGGCACAATTGTTCTGTCATATTTATCTTTAGGGGCAATATGTTTTTACATATAGGAAAAATCTAATAAATCTTTATTATTTTAAGGGTCTTTATTCATCAGTAGCTCAACACAAAGAAGGGCAGAGAAAGAAGAGGAGGACATTAAATGGCCCGAGGCAGGGAATTGAACCTGGGACCACTGTGTGGAGGACTGTGACCTCACTCAACCACTGAGCCACCTGGTGACCCTAGCTAATACATCTAAGATCAGGATTTCACTGTGAAGATCTAGGGCTGTTATTGTTGCCATATCTCTCTCCCTTACTTAGAGTTGTTGTTGTGTTACAGAACATTTTCCTGTTGGTTAGTTGCTTCGTCATTGCTTAGTTTAAAAAGGTTCTTTATCCTAATGATTTACCATTAAAATACATTTTCATTTATTTAGTTTGGTGAACTTTGATACAAGTGGTTTGAATACTTTTCACATGATTTTTGAAGTACTTTTATGAACTATTAACAGACTTGTCATCTTGTCTTAGAGTTGGATTTGGGTGGTTGCTATGCAGACTAAGCAGGAACTTGATTGTGTGTGGAGGAGTTCTGGGAAGCAGTCTATTCACACCCCAGCCAATCTTCGTGTCCTTGAATACCAGATGTGGACCTGTGTGCTGTATCAACATCTGGCCAGAACCAGTTTTATTCAGTAGGACTTGTATTTGTGAAACTGTGTGTAGCCAAACCCACGATGATGTAACATGAGTGTTTTTTATTCCTTTACTAAAAGGCTGTGACACAGGGCAACTCCTCTGAGAGAATGAACTGTCTCCCTGGCAGCCAAAGATAACTTTGTCTCGTGTCTTCATTGCATACCTTCATTTCTTTTGGTCCTTCAGAGCCGGTTCACATCCGGAGGAGCTCGGTGCCTGACTGATTGTCAAGTCTGCATGCAGCATCCAGAACTAAAATCCTCCACAGTGAATTCTGTGTAGGTAATCGCTCCGTGGGCCTTGCGACTCCGGATTGTGGACCAACGTGATCCCAAAAAGAAGGTGTGATTGAACGCACAAGGCAAAAAGTAAAACCTAGGTAAAACGCAGGCAGATAGGCCTGGCGTCCGCGGTAAAAAGAGTAAAAAGGATAAATAAATCTTGGCTTATGTTTAGAGGCTCCAGTAGCCCCGTTAAGGGGCACAAAAGCAGCTCCCAAGGACTTGATTGAGGTGTAGAGGCTCCTGTCGCTCCCTTAAGGAGCATGAAAGCAGCCACCAAGGAATAGGGGTCTTGAGTTTAGAGGCTCTCGTAATTTCGCTTAAGGAGATTCAAAAGCTGCCGAATCCATAGAAAAATCCTCAGATGATTCATTTTACAGGGAAATAATTCCATATTTGACTCAGATTGTGTGCATTCTTGATTTTTCCTCTTTGAGATAAGTTAAATTCAAGCTCTGTGAAATTACCTTGAAAACCAAATGCAGCTGCCTGAAAACAAAGATAAATCTTCTGCACACAGCAGAAGCCTGTCTCTGCTGAGAGCTCTGATGAAGATTGTAACTCTACCCTGCATGTGTCAAACTCAAAGTCCGTGGGCCAAACCAGCCCCCAGAAGTTTATGTGATTCTCTAGAAGTAGAACCTTTGATATGGTAATTGTATGCTTGAATGTTATTTTGTCAATCAATAAGCAGTTTTGTCTACATTCTGCCACAATCTGCCTTTTGAAAAGGTGGGGTGGATCAAAAAAAGGATGCACAGACAACAGGAACACCTGCAGCCTTGAGAGGATTCTGAGGCTTCACAAGGTATGGACTGCAGCAGGAGTTGCTGCTTCAAGAGCCTCCAGACAGACGTGTCAGGACATGAGCTACAACAGTTGTTGCATTCCTGGTGTTAAACCCAGAGAGCAAAAAACTTTGCTGCCTCAGAGTCTGTTTTGTTCAAGTCTTCTTCTGTTCTCTGTCTTGCTTAAAGAAACCGTAAGTTTACTTTGTTTCATCGTTAAAGTTGATTTGAACTTTAATAATTTAACAGTGTGTTTCTGCTCTCTGGTGTTTGGAGAACATGTTCTCCTCTTATTTGAGAACCAAGTTTTAGTTTTACTGTAAATGAAGGAACATCTACAGGATTATTAGATTATTGTCTGAAACAGTCAACATGATGAGCAGCTGATGTTTGTTTTTCACTAAACTAACAGCTTCGTTTTCAGGTCATTAAATCAAACTTTCATTTTCACCTTTAAAGTCACAGAACAGCTGCTTCCTGTCAATCCTTTCAAAATAAGATGACATCAACGTTGTTAAAATGTTTCATGTTATTAAATGGTGTAAAGCTTTAATGAACATATAATCCATCTATATAGTTTGATGACTGAGAAATCCAGCAGGTCCAGATGTTCAGAGTTTGTTCTGCTTCATTTTGTGGAGCTGCAGCAGAAGAAGTTTGACTGATCAATA